TCTTTCTCCTTACCTATCCTGTATAAACAAGTCAGTGGACCCACTGTCGGATGAATCAAACCACAATATAACAAAGTTATTGAATCTTGTTACAGTTGTGTATAAATCGTGACTAGAGTCACAAATACATTAGGACACCATGGGTCACAAATTAGCCATGCACACTCCCAGGGAGCCACTCCAATCCCTTTCCCTTACATGATCTGCTGCTCAACTTCCTGCTTCTTGCCCCATGCTCCCTGATCAAACTGCTGCTCTGCTTTCTGCTCCCTTCCGTATATGCCAGTATGCTGCCTGCCCCTTGTAGCACCTGTGCCACAGACTGGCTAGCACTGCATTAGGAAATGTATTATATAAACAGCCCTACATTAGTAAACAATTCACAGCTCCCTAACTTGTATGTATGTTAGTATGTACACCAGTAGTTTAATTGGCTTGTTCAGACCCTGATGATTTCATAGATTGTAAGGGGCTGGAAGGGACCTCAAAACATCATTGGTCTAGCCCCCTGCACTAGGTAGGAAAGACAACTGGGGTCAGGTGACCCCAGCGAAGTGACCGTCCAGTCTCCTCTTGAAGATTTCCAGGGTAGGTGATTGCACCACCTCTGGAGGGAATTTATTACACAGTCTGGACACCCTAACTGTGAAGAAGTTTTTCCTAGTGTTAAGTCTGAAACAGTCTTCCAGGAGTTTGTGGCCACTAGTCGTGGTTTTCCCCAAGGGTGCCCTGGTGAACAGTTGTTTGCCGAGCTCTTGATGTATTCCCCCGATGTAGTAGTAAGCTGCTACCAAGTCCCCTCTCAGCCTTCTCTTTTTTAGGCTGAAGAGACCCAAATCCCTCAGCCTTTTCTCGTATGGCTTGCCTTGCAAGTCTCTGATCATACGGGTGGCTCTTCTCTAGACTTTCTCAAGCTTTCCCATGTCCTTGTTGAAGTGCAGTGCCCAGAACTGCCTGCAGGCTCACTAATGCTGAGTGAAGCGAAGAATCATTTCCTTGGTTTTGCTTGAGATGCATCGGTTGATGCATGCCAGAGTATTGTTTGCCCTGCTGGCTACAGCATCACACTGACGGCTCATGTTCATACTATGGCCTTTTATTACCCCTAGATCCCTTTCAGTCATGGTGCTAGTCAGTTTGGCACCACCGAGCCTGTAAGTATGTTGTGGATTGTTCATCCCCAGATGGAGCACTTAACACTTCTCAATGTTGAACTTCATCTGGTTCCGATTTGCCCAACTTGCTAGCCTGTCTAGGTCCGCCTGTACCTGCAACCTATTTTCAAGTGTGACCATGCTCCCCCATAACGTGGTGTCGTCCGCAAACATGGCCAGTGAGAGCTTCACCACCACATCCAAATCATTGATAAAGACGTTGAAAAGCACTGGACCAACCATGGACCCCGAGGTACACCACTGTCCACTTCTCGCCAGGACAACACATATCTGTTCATAAAAACTCTCTGGGTCCAATTTCCCTGTGCGAACATCATGGGATGCCAGATCAAAGGCCTTTCGGAAGTCTAGATATACAATGTCGACCTCTTCTCTCTTATCCAGGTGGCAAGTTACCTGGTTGTAGAAGGAGATGAGTTTGGTAAGACGAGACCTGCCTGCGATGAGGCCATGCTGGCTGTTGTTCAGAATCCTACCTTCTGCAAGCATATCGCATATAGACTTCTTGATGAATTTTTCCAGGATTTTCCCTGGGATAGAAGTTAGTGATTATAGTTGCCTGGGTCCTCTCTCCTCCCCTTCTTGAAGATTGGCACAACATTGGCTCTCTTCCATTCTTCAGGGACCTCCCCCAAGGGCCACGTGTTTTGGAAGAGTTTCGCCGTAGGTCCTGCAATGACTTCGGCCAGCTTCTTCAGCACTCTTGGATGAAGTCTTTTCTGTTGACTTTTATAAATGTCTGATTTTTCTAATTGATCACTGACCAGCTCAACGACAACAGTAGGAAGGCAGTCATTCCCACCATGCCCATTCTGAACATTATCTAGTATGATTTTCCCTTTAGTCCCCTGAAATACCAAAGCAAAGTTTTCTCCTGAGTTTCAGTAATCAGCTGTCCTGAGTTGTTAAGCAATGGCTCCATGTTTCCATTTGTTTTCTTCCTGTTCCCTACATACCTAAAGAAGGACTTCTTGTTGCCCTTGATTTCTGTTGCTAGTTTAAATTCATTTGCCACCTTAGCCTTTCTAATCTGCTCCCTACATGTGCGAGTCGTTGTTGTATTGTCCTGCTTGGGGACTGTCCCAAGCTTCCATTGTTTGTATTCCTCTTTCTTCTTTTTCAAGAAACTGTGATATCTCTATTAAGTCAAGAGGGTTTACCACCCCTTCTGCTACTTCTACTCCACATGGGGATGAACTTCTTTTGGGCTTCGAAGATCATGTCCTTGTGGAATTACCACTCTTCATGCGCTCCTTTCACTTTTGGTCCCTGGTCCCACAGTATTTCCCCTACTATTTGTTGGAGTACAGTAACAAGCATTTGAAGGCACAATGGTCACAGCATTGGGTCCAGGACATGTTAGTGTACAGATTTTTCCCATTGCCTCACATGGAGATGAGGCACCAGCAGATAGATTTATTTCTATCATTGTGTGACTGCACACTTCTTCCTGGTAATGTAATTTTGCCATTGAGATAAAAGGAATCAGAATTGAGTCCATTGTTGGCAACAGTGCATTAAAACTATTAGTCTAAAATCTTCAGTTAGACATAGTGGGTCTGATCAAATGCCCATTAAAATCATTGGAAGGACTGTTACTGATTTTGATTAGGGCCATTTGGAAATGTCTAGTTGGAGAATGTTCACTGTTATTCCCAGCTTAAGACTTCACTTCATTTAAGCTTCTTTGACTTTTTTTTATCTGTTGAGAAAAATATGAATTTTCCTGTGAACTCTTGTTTTTAGTAACTTTGGGGAAATTCACCTTATATTTTCTCAAAATCATCTCTTACAGCCTGAATATTTTGTGTTACCATATGTAAAATCTGTACAATGTATAAGTATATCAGCGTTGCAAAGGTTGATTGCCAAATGCAGCCAAAGGGAGATTTTTAAAATATACATCTGTCTGGGGGCAATAATTGAAAGGCATCTTTTATGAAAACAGAAAAAAATAAGCTAATTTGACACATCTCCATCTTTTACCAGGAGGGCCAAAAAATTTGGAGGATAGGGTTAAAAAGAAATAATTCAATAAATTGGAGACAACAATTGTAGACAACAATTCCAATAAACGTAAGTGTAAGATGTCATACCTACACAGGAAAGAAAAAGCAAATGCACAAATACACATTGAGAGAGAATTGTCTAGGCAGTAGTAGCACTACTGAGAAGGAGTTGTGGTGGATTACAAATTCATCATGATTTAGCAATGTGATGGAGTTGCAAAAAAAGCAGTATTAGTTGCAAGATATAGGCGGTGATAATACTGCTTTTTTTGGCACTGGTTAGGCTTTAGTTGGATCATTCTTTCCAGCTCTGGGCTGCACATTTTAAGGAGGATATTGAGAAAAACTGGATGGGATCTAGAGGTGAGCAATGTGGTGATAAAGAGGTTGAAGTGCAAGGCATGCAAGGAAGGTTGAGAGAACAAGGTATGTTTCATTTGGAGAAAAGGAGGTGAAGGGGGCTGCCATAAGAGAGAGAGAACAAACGAACTACTTTCTCTTGCCATAGAAGGCAGGGCATGACTGTGGCAAGGCAAATTTAAATTAAATCTCCAAAGAAAACTTACTAACTCTCCGAACAGTTGATCAGTGGGACAAGTGGCCTAGGGAAGCTTTAGAGCGTCCTTCATTAGAGATTTTCAGTAACAAAAACTGTTTCAGCATTAGTCTGGGTTTCCAAATCTAGGATTCCAGGATCTGTACTCAGAAAAGTTATGACAGTTCCAAAGGTCTTCACTTAAACACTGGATTTCTAGTAATCAGTTACTTTTTTAAACGATTTCTTTCAGAAATTCTCCAATTGCTAACAGAGATCATAGGCATTAACTTAGTGTAATGGACTGGGAATCCAGACTTCTGTGAGGCTGTTTTCATATTGTGACAGTGGGCAAACCACTCAATACAGTGCCTGGCTTCCCCATCTGTGAAATTATGTTGCTAATACCTATCTATCTCCAAAGTGTACTGTGAATTTCAGTTAAAAGTTTACTAAGGAATAACTGAATGAAAAATACCCAGTTAAAAACATTATTTTTGTGTATCACCTAGGACATGCCATTTTAATGTTTTGCAATGTTTTGAAGCACAAACCAAAGGTGAGCCCACAAACGTTTGGTCTGCAGCCTATTATTTGTTGTGAATTTCTTTTTATGGCTCTGGTTAGTTCAATAACCCCTTTGAGGTCCATCCCTAAACCTGTGTTGCAGTTCACAGAGGGCAGACAGGGGGACTTTCACAATATGTAGAATCACAGTTTGTCTTAAAATGGGAGGTGTTTATTAATGCAAACTACTTTATTGACATAAGAAAACCTCAGTACAGCTTGAGGTCCAGCTTTGACTCCCTTGTTTACCAGGGATCAAAACCACGGACCATCTGGAAGGTCTGTGTAGCACACACAGACATCTAGTGACTGAATGAGATACTGCAAGGAAACATATTTTTCTTATGAGTGGGGCATAGGTCCGAAATGAAAAAATGTTTCATGAGGCTGTCAGTCCTCCTGTAAGAATATCTCAAATATTGATAACTCCGCAAAGACCATTCCTGTGATCTTTTTCTTGAAATTTAAGCCTACCTCTTTTTTTGGCCCTCCACTGTGCTATGCTCTGTGCTAATCGTGTCATTTACCTCTCTTTGACTCTTTCCAAGTTTCTTCAGGGAGTGGTTCCTAATGGTTCCCATTTGAAAGGTTTTGAAGTTTGACAATGATCTGTTCCTCTCTCCTGTTTCTTTCCTCTCCCCCTTCCTAGCTGGTTTTGTGGGGAATGCTGCCACGTTCGGATGTTTCATTAACCTGACATCTGTTCTCTTTTAGGAGAAACCCGATGCCAGCCCCACATCCCTCCAGCTGCGATCCCAGATTGAAGTAAGCGCAGTGACTTTAATCATCTATTTTTGTTTTGGTTGTGGGTTTTTTTTTTTAATTTGATATTCTGCACCAGTTGGGGAAAGCCTGCTGTTGTGTCTGCGCTCACATCAATGTATCTTCTCTTATAGGAATCACTTGGCCTCAGCAGTGCTGTGTCAACACCAGAGACTGAAAGGAAGTAAGTTTGGGCATGGCTGGGTGGAGTTCGGTGCAGGAATTTTTGCATGAAGCAGCTAATTCATGTTAAATGGATTTGATCTTGCATGGTTCCAGATGAATCCCTTGAGGAAAAGAATTTGACACCTACTACCCCTCCCTTTTTCTTAGCCTTTTTATATTTCTTTTTTCTTCTCTGTGTGCCCCCTAGCTGTATGTCCAACATAAATAGAGGTGTTTTGACAATGGTGCAGGGTGTAGTTGACTTCACACCCATTACAAACTGCATCTCTCTTTTTGAAAAACTATCCTAAACTTAAACTGGCCCAGAAAAAAAGAAAATGTGGGGGTGGGAATTGCATGCTGAAACTGGTTTTTCCTTCCTTTTTACTCATGCTTTTGCAGTTGTGCTTTTGAAGAAGGAATTTAAGGAAGAAGGTGCCAAGAGAATGGAGTATTTAAAAAAAGCAAGTTAAAAGGAATGTTAATTTTAGTAGTCCTTAATAAAAACCTCTCTGTGTGTGCAGACTGAGAGGGTTTCTGTTTACTGTCACTTCCTACTGAAATGTGTACGCTTGTTTTCTTTGCTTCTTGCTTTTATCCCAGGATCTGGGATCTCTACTGCTAGGGGTAATGTGCAGCAGTGCACAAAAATATCTAGCCCAGTATTTCCAGTGCCTACACGTCTTAGTCTTGTGCCAGCTGGACAAGTTAAGAAAATAAATGCAGACCTCAATAGCAAATGTGTGTTGCTTTTAATAGAACTTTTCAATTCTGATTTTAAATATCTTAAAGGGACCCATATTTAAAAATTGCACCCTGGGACCTTATTTCCATTAGAATATTTTTTCAACAAATTGCTGCTCTTGTTAATGTAGGTTGTATCCCAGTGATTTTAGGAGCCCCTGGTATATACAGGGAGAAAACAGCTGCCACCATTTCTGTTTCAGTTCCACGTGCTCTCAGAACAGGACTAGATGACATAGGATTTAAAATGGTAACAGCCAAAATCCTGCATGCCCAATCTCCTGTAGTCAATCAGTGAAAAATCTCATTCTCTCATATAAAAAGTTCCCATCCAATATAGCTCTGTTTTATTGTATCATCATTACAACACTTGTTTGAAAACTTTTAAGTGCAAAGCGGGGAACAAGCTAAGAAGACAGACACTATTAATGGTACTTAGTTGATACATAGAACTTTTTTGCTTGTGGATTTCAAAACATATTACAAAGTATATAGATGTCATCATCCACATTTTAAGAAATGATAAAGGGAGCACAGAGCTATCAAGTGACTTGCCCAGGGTGACCCAGCAGGCCAGTGGCGGAGCTGGGAATAGAAGCTGAGTGTTACAAGTCCCAGGGCAATTAGACCACAGCCCCTTTCCTCATGAGTGCTGTTCTGCAGCCCTTGAGAATAAAAAGGAACTAAGAACTGCAAATGGATACTCTGGACTGTTATGTTCCTGGAGTGCCTGTTTCTTTTACTGAAAGAATAACTTCAGTCCTCATTCCAGATGGATGGTGTAGAGGAGTTCTTTCAGAAAACTCTCCCTGTGCATGAAGATGGGTCTTTGTACCCGAAAGCTTGCAAAGAACAATCTTTCCAGCTATTGGGTTGGTGTAATAAAAGATATTGCATTTACCCAAAGAACTTTGTCTTCAGAATTTCAGGAATGAGAGTGTACATGCTGAGAGATTGCGTATGAATTACAATAGAAAACAGATTTCATCCATCCAAAGAGATGCAATTCTGGATCAGAAAAAGTTATTTGTTAGGAAAGACTGCCTGATCACAAATCAGTTAACATGCGTCATCTAAAGAAATTTCTTCTATTTGACATGATATAGAAAACTGCAACGGACAATAGCCATTTGATGCTACGTTGGAAAAATCAGTGGAAAATGGTCAAAGCAGACCTGATATAGGCAGATGCTTGTTGCAGTGACAATCTGATTGATCAGTGCCAGTTTCATTCTGCTATCTGAGTGGCATTGCCTCCGTGTAGCATGGTTATGTGGAAGTAGAAAGAATTCGGAAGGCAAATAACCTTCTTCCAACTGGAGCCATTTAGTCTCTCAGATGACAAAATATTCAGATTCTTTTATGCTGAAAAGCATTCTACTGTAGCAGTTTCTTCAAGGCCCAAGTAAAATTTGCCAGAAAATAAATCCAATTTTCAGCCATTAAAATGAATCAAAATTTTTCCATGAATTCAGGATGAACAAGGTTTAGTGACTGATACAGTAAAAGCTGTGTTATCGGGCACTTTGTTAACTGGTGTGCCCCATTAACCGGCATGCTGATCGACGTGGCAAAAGCAGAACTGGAAATCCCACTTCCGGTTTCGCCGAGTCCCACTTTGACCGACTTTGGACCACGGCCTGGGTCAAAGCAGCCTACACGGGGCCCCCTTCCCTGTCCTCTGGCACACTGACACCAAGGAGGGGCAGTGGCATACCAGGTACAGCGGGAGGGGCGGTGGCCCGAACAGGCAACGGCGCCTGTTCGTGCTTCTCAGATAATTGGCATATTTGGTTGTCCAATTATATTTGGTTTGTCCAAATATAATTTGGACATATTTGGTTGTCCCCCCCTGTCCCCCATTCCCCATGGGTGCCAGATAACAGAGCTTTTGCTGTACTTTGGGTGAATGAGATGCCCACCTTGCTGATCATTTGATCCCAGCAGTCTTTCCTGTCCATGTGCAGAGGGGCTGGACCTGATGATATGTAAGGTCCCTTCCAGCCCCTAGCATCTACGAGACTATGAAACTAAGATGCTTCTGAAAGTAACAGTAGTTCTGATTACACTGACCAGCTTTGTATGAAAAGAAACTAACGTTCAGAATTATGTAATAAGGTCCTAATAGCTTACTGTTAATAGCAATAAGCAGAAAAACTGCTATTCAGAGTGACAAGGGCATATATTGCCAATGTCTAAAGTCATAAAATAACATTTGACAGACTCTCAGGATCCCACCAAGATGAGATGCTGAGACGATTGGAGAAGGTTGTGTTTATTTTAACCTGATTTTTTTTCCCCCCTGCAAAACCCAATTTAAAGATAAAAATAAGTCTTTGGCTGCATTGTGGAAACAGACCAGCTTGTATGCTTGTGGTACAAATATGCAGTTTGTGTACAGTCTCACCTGAAGCCATATTAAGATTTATGCCCAGGTCATCGTTGTTGCCATCTGTTCAAAATTGTGTAAAATGGGTTGGTAGTCTCATCCAACTTCTGTTGGACAAATATCTGTCTGCCACATAATCAGCCGTAACAATTGGTATAACAACCTTCCTCAGCATCTCAATATAGAGGTAACCCCCCCGCCCCCCTCCAAGTTACCTCCTTGCCTCAGGTGGAAGTCTCTCCAAAATGGGGGCAGAACAACATCAGGCTTGACGGCTGCTCTCCATGCAATTATAGCTCAGAAATAGAAGGGAGCTAAAATGTGTATCTGTAAACATGTATACATGCCATAATATGAAAGATGCCTATTCCACTAAATTGGCTATCACAAAGAGGGCTTGGGCCCAGAGGAAAAACTGCAGGAAAAATATTAACATTAGCAACATGAAAAATCCTCATGGTAGGCAAAAATAAATAAATGAAGAGCGGACAGGCATCTGAGATTTACACACAATTATATTGCTTGTGTAGTCGGTAGTATGAAGGATGTAAAAGTAGTCAGAAATGTGTTCAGTAAATAATAAAAGACAAAGTCACATTTGTTCTAATTCCAGTTCTTCTAAATCTAATTTGCAAGCTTGTGATCAATTGAGTTTTTTCAAACACAAGTTGCTTCTGCAAACTGAATCCATTATGCAGTTCTTCTAGTGATATAGTACTCTGAAACTAACTCAAAATGGGGAAATACTCATGGTATGTTTGTGGTTTTTCTTTGTTAATAGTAGAGGGGATTTTTTATTATGTTAAGTTTTCCTTTTCCCCTTTAACCCGCAGCCTTCTGACCAAATATAATGTCAGTGTAATACTGTAAAGCTTTGCGTTTGCCTTCATTATTGTGGTGTATGCCCTTATCTGTCACTGATGTGTTTTTCATTTTTGACCATAAATGTATCCAGAACTGCAAATCCAGTTCTGCAGACACAGTTGACTTTTGGTTTTGACTAGAAGCATGACCAATAGAAACCGAGATGCCCAGTAAACATGTTCTTGGAGATTACTGTTGCTGCTTAGTTCCTGTAATATGCTGCACCAGGAATGCATACACTCTGTGATTATTACTCTGAAATGGCAACTCCCCAAGGATGTTCTCTTGGGCCAACACTAAGAAAGGGATTTCACATCATTGCAAACAATGTTTCAAACAGCGGAAACCAACTTTCTAACTAGGTCCCAGGTCCCCGTTCTTTTGAGTCAAGACAGCATCATGGCCTGACGAACACTATACATTTGATAGGAAATCCAGGTCAAATCCAGTCACCTTGAACTCAGGCTTCTGCATCCTGTCTCTCATCCTGTTATTAGCAGAAATGGGATGTCTCATGGAGGAATTATGTGTTTTCCCCCTGGGGGAAGAGGTGTTTGCTGTCACTGTCCACTGCACTGGCCTTTTGGTTTTTTTAAAAGTGATGCATCATATTAAAGAGCCTCCAAGAAGGAGTAAGAACTAGATGACAGGCTCAAGAGCGCCACTCACAGGCAGCATGATATGTAATGCAAAAGGAAAAAAAAGTTGGGGGTTATAATTGTGATGAATCTGGCACCCCATAGGGATTGCTGTCATGTTTGTCTCGGTGAGTCCTTGGATCTTTGCATCCATGTAATGGAGCAACCACTGATTCTTTAACTGTACTTCTGAAACCCTCTGCTAACCAAGGAAATGAAGATCTATTGTATTTGCCCAAATCCAAGACAACTTCAAATTTAAGATGACCCCTCCCTAATAATTTGTTATAATAAGTTTGTTGGGATTTTCTGTGCATAGAATCTAATTAGTGGAAAGTCATCTTAAATTTGCACCCACCCCCAAGACTGCTGTGATGGGGAAAG